TGATAATTTCGTCGTCTGAATGATCTCTGGGCATGAATGCCTCGTCCACCTCCAAGAGCTCCGGTTCTGTCACATAATAAGAAGGGTTGGCCGAGCTTGTCGCTCTGTAACCCGAAAATGGAGTCATGATTGATGATTCAGCCTGGGATGAGAGGGTACTGGTGGCCGACAGAGGGGATACTTTCCCCTGGCCCTGGGGTAGATTAGGTTGCAGCGATAACCCTCCCATACCGCTCTCAATGTGAAGACTCCTCTTCGATTTCTTGTGCATATGATGTGAATCGCTGTCATCTGCACTGGGTGACCTCGACGGCTTGGGTGGAGGGGGAGACCGGCTTGGGATGAGATGTGTCAGGATATGTGGATCAGAGTCATCGTCTGACGAGTAATGTGTCGATCGTTTTCGCTTTCTTAGTGCATGAGGAAACTGAAAATTGCCTTGTGATGTTGCAGCAAAGTGAATGGTCGGCCTGGGACGAGAGGCGCTCTGTATCATGGTTGCCATTGACGCAGCGAGGCGCAGCCAGATAAGCAAATCGAGCAAGCTTAGATATTAGCTCTGAGAGATCGTGGTTGGGGTTCAAGTTGTGAGAGTATAGGGTTAGCTGGTCGTCTGTCGTCAATTTATTCGATCGAAATAACCTCAGCTGACACCACGGAAAGTTCTGGAGAACATTGCCAGAAGTGGGCATCCCAGCCCACGTCAGACCCACTGACCAATCAGAAAAAATGGTGAATTTCATTATCTTACATCAGATAAATCGCAGCAAAGAAAGCGGGGAAAAATGATCTATCGCTCTACCGGGCAAGCACTAGGGTATGTTCTCTATATCTTCAACTATTACTTCTGGATTGCTTTAGCAAACAATTCACTGGCAGTGGTTACAGCATCTGCGACCTTGGAGGCATCAGTGCCGACGCCCTGGGCGGTGTCAGGCTTCCCACCAGCCTTGAATAAAAGTCAGCGGGATAATCGCGCAAAAATGAGGTAATAATACATACCCTTCCACCGACAATTTCGGAGACACCAGAAGCCCACGTGCGTGCATCGAACCCGTCTGCTGCCAATGAAGGAGGCAAATAGTTACCATGTGTAACCTTTCCAGACTGAGTATCTATGCTCAATACATATACGGCCTTATTCAGTGTTTTAGCTTGGTTTATTATCGATTGCAGGGCCTGCAGCTATGTTATTATCAAAGTCTCAGCAAAAAACGTGGTACTTGCCTTGATATTGCTGCCAATCTCGACCTGACCACAGTATACTTGTGCATCAGGATTTTCGGCAAAGTAATTGGCAACTGACTCGGTTGCCTAATTCGGTGTTAACAAGAAGGCCATGTCCAAGCCCCTCACAAACTTACCTCTTTAGTAGCAGCGGCTTCACGAGCTTTGACTTCCGTATCCCAAGCTTTGCGTTTAGCTGCCAAACGATCCTTTAGGTCAGCCTTGAGGAGTGCGGGTAAGTCGGCTTGATTAAGGTCCTACAATCACGAATGAGTTATCGATCGATACCCAAAAGGACGCATGCTTACAAGAGTAAGTGCCTTGAAACCCTCGTCTTTCTCCTTTCCTGTCATGCCTTGCACGCCAGTGAATCGCAGCTCGAATTGTGCAAGGGCAGCCATAGCTGCACGCGACTCTGGTCCAGTAACGGCGATTATTCTACGAATACCCTTGGCGATACCCGACTCTTCCATGATGGTAAATTCTTTGATGTCTCCAGTCTTGGCGACGTGACTATCCCGGACGGTAAGTAGGTGATTTTGTACGCGAGTCTGGACTTACGTTCCACCACAAAACTCCACACTAGTTCCACGCCATTTCGGATTCTCCAAGTCACTGGAAATCTCGTCCACATCATACTCTAGTGAAACCACCCTGACGGGATCAGGATATGTTTCGCCGAATACAGCCCTTAGTCCAGGAATGAGACGCGCAGATTTGAGGTCGAGATCTTTGCTGAAGACCGGAACATCCTTTCGAATCCATTCAAGACATATATCCTCAATCTTCTTGAGTTCTGGAAGCGAGACAGGTGCTTTGTGACTGAAATCGAATCTCAACTTTGCAGGGGCGACCAAAGAACCCTTTTGATCGATATGATCTCCTAAAACATCGCGTAAAGCAAAGTTGAGAATGTGAGTAGCAGTATGATTGCTTCGGATAGGTCTCCGTCGATCCTGAAATCAGATTAACGAATAGAAAACGAGATAAGAAAAATGAATGCGTACTGCATCGTATGAAACAATAATCTCATCTCCGACACAGAGTTCTCCTTCATCAAGCTGACCAATATGTAGAACATAGCCCTTGAATGATTGACAATTGATGACTTCAAATTTGGCTTCCCTATCCTTCATGTCCAATGCGATCACACCAGTGTCGTATTCTTGCCCTCCGGCCTCTGCATAGAAGCATGTCTTGTCAAGGATTATACCAAAGGAGGCACCAGTGGGTATATTAGCCGTGGATGAAGGGAAATTCTTCTCGTGGTAAATGGCCTTGATGGTGGCAGATATGCTACTGGAATCTAGAGAGAGCGATTAAGCTTGAATCAAGATAGGATGGACGGATACTCACTAAATTTGAAGGAATCGTTAGTGATGGGAACCTCGGTGTTCTTCTCTAAAGCACTAATGTCATGAACATCCAATTTCACGGTATCTTTTACGCTTGTCTTGGCACCACCTTTGCTTGCTTCCTTCGAGTGAGCTTGAGCAGCCTGGAAAGCATCTTCATCGACGGTCAGATTAAGTTCTTCGGCCATGAGTCGAGTCAAGTCGACAGGGAAACCATATGTGTCATATAGTCTCCAAACGTCCTTTCCGTCCAGAACTGTGCTTCCCGTTCCTTGTATCTTTGTAACGTAGCTATCAAACAGCCTCTCTCCTCGGTCCAAAGTTCGAGCAAAAGATACTTCCTCCTCATCT